TCTTTGTGAAAGGCAACAGCGGCGAACTCCAGGTGGACAGTGTGTACACATCCTGCCCCCCCCCCCACACACACACACAGGCTGCCCATTGGTATGAGAAAGCCATCAGATCAGAGACCTCCGCGCATTAAAGTGCCACCGACCCTCCCTGCTTCCTGTCCTTCTGAAAAGCACAGACTGACACTGAGAACAAAAGCTCATGGTCTGGCTGACCCGCATGTGTTTACATGTCTCAGCCCCCCCGCACCCCACCCCACCCCCACCGCACCCCCTTCATCACGCATGCATGTACGCGCATGTGTGTATGCATGATTGGTTTGCATATATGTATGTATGTTCGCCCACAAATATACAGTCAATTCACTTTACAGTGTGCTCTGTGAAGCGCTTTGGGACGTCCTCCCGACGTGAAAAGCGCTATATCAAATGAGAGGATTATTATTATTATTATTATTATTATGTGTGTATGCATGTATGGTATGTTTATATGTATGTGTGTGTGTATGCATGTATGGTATGTATATATGTATGTGTGTGTATGCATGTGTGCGTGTGGGCAAAACCCATAGATTGTGAAATGTATGGCTGTGTATCTATGTTTGCATGTATGTGTATATATCTGTGTGTGCGAGGAAGGAGACAGCTCACACAGTCCTCACACAGTTACCGCTAATCATGTATGTGTGCATGTATGTGGACGTGTGTATGTGTACATATGGGTGTGTGCGTGTGCGCCTGTGTGAGGGAGGAGATAGCTCACACAGTCCTATTACCATTAATCAGTGCAAAGAAAACACTAAGTGGAAGCATGTTAAGAGTTATTAACCACTGAAATGTAATAAGGTGTGTGTGGGGGTGGGGCTGGTGGGGGTAGACTTCAGTGTCTTTCTCCCACTGAGCGCACATCTAACTTTACATACTGAATAAATAAATTGACAGCTTTTACCCTCTTCCCCCACCCCCCACCCCACCACCACCACCCCACCCCATCTCTTGACGATACCGACGATTAATTTGGCTTAAAAGGAGACATTGGGGAGCTGTGAAAAAAATGCCACGCAACCATGCATTTCGTTCTGAACCTCGTGACATTTACAGCAGAAGTAAAATGCGTTCAGGTTTCACTGAGTGGGGGGTGGGGGGATGTTATTCACAGCGGCAGAAATGAGTTACTTTCATCCGTTAGTCCTTTCAACGGAGAGAAGACAATCGGATCTTCATTCCGTTGCTTCGTACGAACGTGGAGGCGACAGCGCAATTTTATTCCACGGATGGATAATAAATAATAATCCTTGCATTTTTGATATGGCGCCTTATCAAGTCGTCTCAAAGCGCTTCACAAAATATTCTGCTTCGCTTGCAACCAAAGGGTCCAATATGGAATGTAGATTGACCTTTCGTCTTTATAACTCTGGGAGGACTCATGTGGAAGGACTCCTCTAACACCACAAAAGATAGACCTATGACACTGCCAGTTGCAAGACCTTTCCGATGAGGTATAAATCATGTCTTCACGTCAATTGGTTATTGTGCAAGTGTCGGACACACAGACAGATAGACACTTCATCTTTATTAGTATAAGATGAAGTATATTATATGATGATTCTATGCCTGGTATAATTTAGGAAACTTTTAGATTGTTCTGTGTAGTATTTTGATGTCTGTACTCTGAACACCCCCAACACCCACACAAACTTCCCCTCCAAAAACCAGAGTCCATGGGGGAGGAGGAGGAAGGAGTGGGGAGGGGGGGGAGGGAGGAAGAAAGTGTGGAAGGGGGAAGAAGTACAGTTCGAAGATCACAAAGGATCCTTCCCCCCAAAAAAAACAATCACGAATCGATGAGGTTTACGATACGAACCAATGAAGTTTTTTTTATTTAAAAAAAAGGTTTCTTAGAAAAATGATTGCCAACACTGGACAATCTTGAAATAAAATCCTGGGTATGAAAAATATATTGAAAATGCATACACACAGGTTGACCAGCGGGGTTAAAGAAGGAAAAAAACAGGTAAAGGTTTGGGGGTGCCCTTTCTCAGGGCTTTTTTATTAATTAAAACAAATCCTGCTTCAAACACACACACACACACATTCACAGACAGACACACATTCACACACACACACACACACACACACACACACAGACACACACACACAGACAGAGAACACACATTCACACACAGACACACACACACATACACACACATACAGACACACACACATTCACACACATAGTCAGAGACACACACATACACACACATACAGACAGAGACACACTCACACACATACAGACAGACACTCACACACATACATACAGAGACACTCACACACATACATACAGAGACACACTCACACGTACAGACACACACACGAACCATTGGGAATTGTATGATAAGTTAAAAGATAATGATAGATGTGACGTGGGCCCTCGAAGAAGCAGGAAGGATAAAGTGAACGGGACAGCTGGCAACCTGATCTTAGCTGAGGTGGAATTAATTCCAATGTAGTTTCTTCTTGTCGTTTGTTGTGACCAAAGTGTGTTTGCGGGGAGAGTGGTGGGGGGGGGGGGGGGGGCAGTGGGGGGAATTACTGTATCTCCACCCGACCCGACAGTTTGAGGGGAGCAGACACACCCTCAGATGCTGCTGTCCGGCGTCTCTGCGCTTTATCATTCTTCATTGGAAAACACGACCCCCAATTTGGTGACTTCTTTCGCCTCCCGGGAGGTGCAGACGATGGGCTTAAACCACCAGATAAAATAAACCCCTTCCCTCATTTCTTTTCTTGGGTAATAATAATAATAATAATAATAATAATAAAAGAAGAAAACCCATCTCTCTCTCTTTCTCTCTCTTCAGCCGTTCCGGTGTGAAGGAGACAAACTGAAGGACAGTCGGACTCCCAGATGAAAGGGGGGAACCAGAGGGTTTTAATGAATGAGCCATTTCCTGCACAAATGAAACCAGTCACAAGGCCACAGAGAAGCCCCAACAAAGGCAGAGTCTGTGCTGCACAATAATAATAATAATAATAATACAGAGATACTGTACTCCATCCTCGGGCAGAGGGTTCCGGCTGCAAAATGTCACCGGTTGCGATCGCGAAGCAACGAAAACACACATTAATTACACTTCACACCATCCAGTGCCACCCCCCCCCCACCCCCACACACACCCAATCCCCCCACCCCACACCCAATCCCCCCCCCCCCAGCAGCAGAGGGAAGGCTTTCGCGTGGGGAAGTCACTTCTGCATTCGGAAGGCTCTCCAAGTGGTTCCGGGCAGTTTAAATTTACGGCCATGTCATGGTCATATAGCCTGCGATTCAGATCCTCTGGCGTGGCAATGCCCTGGGGGGCTGAATAGAAATAAGAACTGAAAAAGAGTCAGGAGGAATTTGAAAAGTACAATCGTGTTAGCAAAATAAGATAATGGTTCCGAAAGCACAGAAAAACAGCGTGCGCCAAGTCAAAACCGATGTATCAGTTGCTGATGCTTTACAAGACACCCAGCACTGCGCTCAACAGTACCTTGTGAATGTAAAAAAAAAAAGTGGTTTTCCCCAATTATCCTTCTCGTAAAATAAAAAAAATTCCTATTATGACATCCATGTATTAAAAGGAGGACCAAAAAAAAAAAAAAAATATATAGAACTGGTTTTAATTAGTTTCAATTACGATTTTTTTTCCCATGATTCACAAACGAACAGAAGGCGACATACTCTGTGCGATTTTGAGGAATCGGTGGGTGGACGATACGCGTTAGTCGAGGGGGGCTGTTTTGCAGGTGGAAAGCCATGGTTTTTAAACTCCTTTGAAATGAAGGGTTTTGTCTTCACCCACAGGCTGGGCCGGGTGGCACTTGCAATCCTGAGCCTGGTGCGCAGAACAGAAGCCGGTCCACATTAATATGAAGCGAGCCTGTGATAAGGGCTGTGGTTAGAAATGGCACTCAATCCTTGGCCAGGGAGGGAGGGTGAGGGTGAGGTGAGGTGGGAGATGGGGTGGGAGGCCGGGACATGGGGGGGTGAGGGGTGGGGGGAGGAAGGAAGGTAAAGGCACACATGTGTGCATCCGAGATTCCTCGCAGCGTTAAAAGAGCGTCGTCGCAAAATTTCAGATCACGCAGAGTTTTTGGAAAACCCTTCCCAGGTTTGGTTTGGATTCGGGATCAGCCGCTCTAAATCCCCGAAGACAACAGCAAGAAAAACAACAAACAAAAAAAAAAAAAAAACAAAAAAAAAAGCAGCTTCCAGATTAAGAGCGAATTTCAAACTTTCCGCACAGGGGCCCTCGTGTTTTTAAAAAGACGACGACAGCCCTTAAGGCTGGGACTCTTGAGCAATATTTCGAGCCTCACGAGAGCAGAAAACAGGCACGGGGGGGAGGGCGGGGTGGGGGGGGGAAGGGTGGGTGGGGGTGGGGGGGAGGGTGGGGTGGGGGTGGTGGGGGAAGAGAGAAAAACAAGAAAACAAGGACACGCGAGGCTTCGCAAACCGCTGCTTCCCATCAAGAAGGTTTGTCCTGCCCTCGCGTGGGGCAGCTCTTGACTTTGCAGTAGACAGTGTTGGAGTTCTTGCACCGGCACCCGGGCCGGTGCACCCAGTCATAGCAGCCCTGGCAGAGTTTGACGCAGCCCTTGGCCGGAAGGTAGCAAAGCAGACAGGGCAGGAACAAGGACATCAGACCCATGCAACAGAACCTGGAGCAGCAGTGGGAATGGGTGCACGAGCAAGGGCTGTCCGCGCACGAGTCCTCGTCGTCGCTGGAGCAGTGGTAGAAGACTCCCTTGACCAGGCACATGCAAGTGCCATACTCCACCGTGCTCTCGGCAGAGCACAGGCACTGCCTGTTGCAGGCCAGGCAGGAGGGCAGGGTCCTGGGTGCAGTGCACTCCCCGCACTTGCACCTCCCGCATCGCTCACATATAAACCTGTGCTTGGCCAAGTCCTCTTTCCCCAAGCACTTCAGCTCGTCGGACGCGCAGCCGGCCACGGCGGAGGGCTTGGGCTGGATCCGGATTGTCCGCTCCGCTCTGTGGTGGCCGGAGCTGAGCCGGGCGGGGGGCGAACGGCCCAGGAGGCCCTGCTCGGACGAGGCGCTGCTGTTGCTCCCCGAGCTGGCGGCGCTGCCTGTGCTGGTTGACCTGCTCAGCGCTGGCATCCTGCCGGCCGGTTGGTGGTGAGGGGCGTGCGGCTGCGGCTGAGGCTGCGGCTGAGAGGACCGCTGCTCATAGTTGTTGTTCACGTTGATGGTTATGACTTCGTGAGTCCTCTCGTGCTTGTCATGTCGCTGCGCCGGCCGGCTGTTACTGCCCTTCTTGGCCGTTGTGGGCGCAGGACCTTCTGTGTACTCGTTGCTGCTCCTGATGGCTTTGATCTGGTCGAGGGAGAGGATGGCAGTGTGTCTCAGCTCCCGCTCGTACTCCAGTCTCTGCCGACTGTCGAGGGAGGGTGGCTGGATCACGACTAATGAACCGCCACCGCCATGTTGACCTCGGGGCTCCATCTGGGGTGATCACAACTTCCAGCATTCACCGTGGACCTGGCGGGCATCGGAAACTCTGCCGGGGGTGGGGTGGGGGGAAAGGAAGAGAAAAAATATCTTTAAATCAAAACCTGCCATTGCGTAGAGCCATTCAATAGTAACAGAAACAACAACATTACATTTATAGAGCGCCTTTCACATCGGGAGGACGTCCAAGGCTGTGGACAGTTAAGGGTTAGCAACTTGAGCTGAGGGTTGGGATCAGAAAGGGCTGGAGGAGCAAGTGGGGTTGGTAGTGGGAAGATGTCTAAAGGCAAGGTCGAGGTGGAAGGTCTCGAGATGAGCCTCGAGATACGCAAGGGAGGGGAAAGCATTGGAAATTTAGGATAGGTGAAGAGGGTTGGAGGAGACTGCAAAGATAGAGAGAGAGGGGCATGTTCATTGCTGGCAAATGACACACAGATGAATATTTTTTGCTATCACAAGGGAGTCCTAGGCTTTGGCAACAGGGATACACTCCGAAGGCCTTTAAAACCCCAAAACCTATCCTCATCCTGCACATCGAACGAGCAGTGGGTCCCACTGGAGCTCCAGTGAACGAGGGAGCCCTAATGGTTCCAGCAGCAGAGAGTTCATTGGTGCTTGATCAGCGAGTTTGGCTGTAGCCCAGGGAAACTTCCCAATCCTCAGATGGGTAGGTCTTATTAGATCTGGGACAGCCAGATCTTAAGAGGGGAGGGGAGAGGAGGGAAGCAAATTGGAAGCCAGTCCAGTCAAATTCCGCAAATGGGCATAAAACCTGATCACATTAGCTCCGGGCTGAAAGCAAATCACAGTAAGAGCACCAATTCTAACAGGGGGAAAATAACAAGTTTATTCTTTTAGAATTAGGTTCATACTTGTTAAAGTCAGCCCTGAATTGCAGGTACAATATCAGTATTTCCCAATAATAATCATCCGCAGAGATGTCGTGCTTAGTTACGAACGCTGCAAAGGAAATTTCAGTAAATTAAGTTACCTTTTATTCGCGCTCCCCCCGCCCGCCCACCTCCCCAACCCCACCACTACCTCCATTAAGTGGGTAGACCTGTTGCTAGGCGAGCAGCAATGCTGCTAAGGTTGACTATGGGCGTATATTGAAGGGAGGAGGCAGTGTGGAGGGGGGATAAGCACTTGGCATCTACTCTTCTCCTATTGCCAGTGGTACAGGCCAGATTAGGAAACATAGTCACACACAAAAATCCAGCTCCTATCTCTCCAACGCAGAACAAATAATGATAATAAAAATAATCCTTGCTTTTGATATACTGAAGCACCAATTTGTTTTATATGCGATTATATTCCAGATGGTAGCAATCTAGATTATGTAAATACCCATGTACATTTTCCTTCCTGTCTCTTTGGCTGTCCAAAACAAAGACTTATTTTTCCTAGCCTGCTGCATTTAGGATTTCTACACTTCTCCACATGTAGACATGACTGTCAAGATCAGAATCAGAACAAAATTTTCTTTATTCCAACCTTTGCACAATGACATTTACACAGCGTCCAAGGTGAGGGAAAAGCTCACTGGTAACAATGCTCACGCTTACATCTCTGTGAACCTAACCTACCACTTTTCCAAAGGTTCGGTTCACTGCCTTGTGCGAAAGTACCAAAATAAAACAGTTGCAACATCAACACCAATACAGTCTAAAATCCCTGTCTATTGTTGCGCAGAACTGAACGCCTCGATTACAAGAGAGAGAAAAACGTGAAGTTCACATTCTTTACTGGTAAATACAGACGTTTTGTTTTCAGTTCTGAAATTGAGTAGACGTTCAGCACGACAAGTCCACTCCTAGCTCCATGGGTGAATGCACCACATGGCGTGGGAATCAGCCAAATAGATCAAGAAGGTCCCACGTTTGATCTACATAGTGATAACTCATCCCAGTTGAGATGATGGAAAACACTGCAAATGATTTTTGCATGACCCTGCTCAACGGAAAATCAGATCTAGATTGCCATCCAACGGACCCCTGCTACAAGTGCATTTGCGGATGTTGGGGAGGGGGAACACAAACTAAGCCCCAACTGTGATGTCCATATGCCCCCAAAAGAGACTGAGGACATGCACTGCCTATGCTCCCTTGTGACCAACAGCCGAGTGGGTAAATTACCAGAAGGAAGTGTAATCCAGGATCAGTTGGCACATTCAGGACAGCAAATGTTATGGAGATTCAAGACCAAGAAATGCACAACATTGCAATGTTCAAACATTGTCTGATGCTGCCAAATCTTTAGGACAGTCAGTAAAGGGGATGGATCCCTTCTCTCCTTACCTCCTCTCTACAATGGCAAAAATGTGGAGATTAACAATAGTTGAGGAACAGCAGTGCTACAACAGTAGAGAAAGCATCAGTGAAAGAATCCATTATATGGGACCACTAGAAGACTAGTCACTTTGCCTTTGAAATTAACACGCAAACACAAGCACACAAACACATAAGCAGTCACACAAACCAACACATACACACAGTTACCAGGCACTAGTTCAGGGCACTATTTTATAGGGTTAATCTGAAATCAAGAAAGTTCAGAATCCTGTTGTGACCATCACTCGTTGTGATTTATCTCAGCTAAACGGGTCTGCTCAGTGGAAGGAGTACCTCCAGTGAAGTGCTTTGGGAGAAACGATAGGATCTGCTCTGTAGCAAGTTCTAATGAGATCTGATACAGAACAAAATTGTGTGGGAGGGGAGCCTTCCGTAACCAATAGCACACCTTGAAAATGTTTAAAAACCCTGCTCCGATAGTACGTGGTGGAGCAGAGTTCCTGTGAGTCTGCTTGACAGTCTTTATTTAGGAATCCTGTTAGATAATTGCCCCCACATTCGACCCCCAGCGGCTGATTTGCCGTTCTCAAAGATCGCCTCCTCCTGGATGGAAGACACAGCGATCTAGTGAGGGTCTCGGAGATGTGTGTGCTGTAAAGACCAGAAGGCAACAATGCAGGAGAGGAAATAGTCATGTTGTGACTGACAACTTGGTAGGGGTTGAATGGTAAAAAGGTGAGTGCAACAAACAGAGAAAGCAGCGGTGCAATCTTTAGGAAAACAGTGCATTTCCTCCAGTACGTTTTTTTCCCCAATTGTAAATTCCCTCTTTGCGCAAGGAAACTAATGTAAAACAGGCCCCGTAACGTGATAGGCAGTAACATTTTATTTAAGTGACACGGTGCGCCGTGTTCCAGTGTAGAACATGTGCTTAGTTTGATCGATGAGGTCTGTCTTGTACTGGGTTGCTAAAAATAGAGATCTTTCGACAATAGAAGTTCGGATGAAGAAGGCCTTTTGGCCCATTTGCGCTCACCCTTCCAGAAACCGACCCAACCACCTTCTCCTCACAGCGTCCAGCTCTTCCTTAAACGTCCAGTGTACTGGCTCCGATCACCCCGCCATGATAACCCATTCCACCCACTGATCACCCTCTGCGTAAAGAATTCTGGGCTCAGATTACCTTGAACCTGTTTCTCCTGATGTGCCTATTTTTCCGGTTTTTGCTTTCTCCATTCTGATAGACGTCTTGTACATTTCTTAAGTTCCTCCACTGACTGTAAGACACGTAGCAGCAAAATAGCTACGTTTTTCGCGATCAGCATATGGTAGATCCCCAGGATATGCAATAGCGTTGAAAATCTTCCCCCCCCACCCCCTGTTTCTAGCCTACTTTGGTCTTGGTTTAAGTTTGAATTTATAGCCTATGTTGTATAGTACACAGGTACAAAAAACCCTTTTGTATTGATCCCAATTGTTATGCATGTTGTACGAACGTTTTTCATTTTCTCTTACCGAAGAAATATCCTTTCAAATTGAACGGAGACTTGTGCTCATGAGCACCCACAGTGTCTGAATGTACAAATTGCCCACAAAATGTTCACAGGCTTCATCCATTCGAACTTTATTGTGACATCCATTGTTAAATGTTGGGTTGGTTTTAATTCATGGGCCGAATTCTGGGTTTATTTTCTTCATTCTGCCCCAGTGAGCTCTTCATGCTTTTTGCCTCAGCCAAATTGTGGCTTTTTTTTTGTGTATATTTTATGTACAAAAGAAGAAGTTTTGAGGAATCCTGACTATTTTTAAAACTGTCTGTCAAAACTTTTTTGTTGTTGTTGTAAAGAATATTTATTATGTGAAGCTCTATTATTTTATGGTATTTATTTCAAAAGCTGTCTGAAATTTTACTCATTTCTGAAATATAACAAATATCATTACTTACTGAGAAAATTAAGGGTTGGCACAAAAGAAAAATGCATATGTTAACTATAAGGCAGAAATATATAAATTAATGAAAATACCTTTTTGTGTGTTGTCTGAATCATTTAATTCCTGTTCCCATGTAGTAACAGTGATAATAGACCTCGCGTTAGATTTAGCGCCTTATCACATTGTCGAGATGTCTCAAAGTGCTTCTCAGGATGTTACTGTAGTGACCAAATGTGTTGAAGATGAGCTGCTACACGTTAAGAAGGCGGTTTTTCGCTGTGTCAGTGAAAGGGGAAAACGCTTGTCTGTGGCTACTCTGCTCTCGGTGTTGGTCAGTTCCCGATTCAACACAGTGTGAGAACAGCATTTCCGTGTCAGGCTCCAAAACACACTCGATGTTACAGTAAATCCTGTGAAGCGATTTTGAGACGTCCTCCTGACGTGAAAGGTCCCTTTAATCAAATGCAAGGTTTATTGTTTTTAACAAATGTGCAGATTTGACAATCTTTTATAATCAGCCGTCACTTCATTTCTTTTTTTTTTTTAAAAAAAGAAATCTGCATGAAAAGCCCGACGGAGAGGGTAAACAAAAAGAGCTGCGATGCTTAAAGCCCAGGAGGGATTAACAATAATAATAATAATCCTTGCATTTGATACAGCACCTTATCACATCTTCGAGACGTCTCAAAGCGCTTCATAGGATACACTGTAAAGTGAATTGACTGTATATTTTGTGGGGGAAATGTGGCAGGCGATTGCGCACAGCAGTGAGTATCCCACAAACAGACGCCTTCAGTAACTAAGCCAGGGTGGGAATTCCTTCTACTGATTTCTGGAAAGCACAAGGAATAGCAGCTGAGGACAGGATGGGGCTGGGCTGGGCTGCGATGCCCTCTGTGGTTGAGTTAGCTCCAGGCGATCGCTGCCTAGACTCACACTTGAAGAGTGGATGTTTGGACAAGGGCTGGTGGCGCCTGTGGAACAACTGCACAAACTGGCTCCTCCACAGCGGAGGAACCGAGAGAATTAAGAGAGAAAAGGGGAGGCTTGGAAAAACAAGTCTCACGCCAGTCAATACTTCCAGGTAATTTGATTTAGCATCGCTGGGCATTAAAAACCTGATGAAACGTGGAATGTTTTCAAGCCTGTGGTACATTGCGCCTGGTTGAGGAATTTCTTTCTATAAGTCAGGAGTAGATGGGAAGTGTTTTTGGTAACTTGAAGAAGGTTCCTGCTTATTTGGAGCTGCAGTGATCTTTGGATAAAGATCCTAATTGTACTCGGATTGCTACTAATTGAATCCAGCGTGTTACGACAGGACTATCACTCAGTGCTCTGTTGCCGGGTATTAATAATAATAATTATTCTTGCCTTTGATATAGCGCTTTCCACATTTTCTAGATGTCTCAAAGCGCTTCACAGAATATACTGTAAAGTGAGTTGACTGTATATTTTGTTGGCAAAGACGGTAGCCGATTGCGCACAGCCGCCTCCCACAAGCAGTCGTGGATTGAGTGACCAAATTATTACTTTATTGTTGAAGGAATTATTACCCCCGGAAAAGCGATCCGCCAATTGACTAACAACCAGGTGCCTACTTACCGCTGGTAAACAGGGACGTGGGGAGTAAGGAAACTTGCTTTAAGATTCAGCCTTGCCCGGGAATCAAACCCGGGTCCTCTCGCTTGCGAGGAGAGCGTGTTAACCACTGAGCTACAGGACAGCGGGAAACTGACCCGTCCAACGCAGAAACAATGCGTCAAATCGTGCTGAAGGTGACCATGTTATTCCACCCTCAAAAAACAGCCTAACGCCTGTGAGGCGGTGTCAGTCGATGACAGGTTTCAGTTTTGGCTTTGGCCCAGGACTAGCCCTTGCGGTGTGGCTGGTGTTTTTCTGTTCCACTCCGCAATCCCAGGAACCGGTGTATAAAGCAACAGGGTTTTCCTAAGGTTCGCTCAGAATTTCACACCACAACTTGCGATGGAAGTTATTCGCATTCTGCGTCGGAAACCACAAACACCTGGGGTGTCTGGGATTCGGTGCTCGGTGCATTCTTTGAAGGGAAAGAGCAATCGCTTTCAAGAGAGTGAGAGTTTAAAGGCGCCTGTTGCCCTGTAAAGCTCGGATTGCATCTCTTCACGATCGTTTTTCACACCGACCGTGAAAAACGTGGTTAAATCTATGTGCTAAATTGGGTTTTTTATTTTTAAGGGGTTTTATCGACAGCAATTTTCTGGCCCAAAGCTTTCTTTTATTCATGCGCTGACTGACCCCCGTTTCTGGTACATCTGCACAAATGCTTGCTTCGCTCACTGAAAGGCTCCTTGGTATTTTTCCAAGGATCAGAATTTATTCTCTGCCAAAACCTTCTGCCGTGACCCCAGTGCAGCAGGGCGTGTGTGCAATTTGTGCTATTTCAAACAAGGAAGAAAGGTGAAGACTTTGAGAGCCCCTTGTGCTGTGCTTACAGCTCTTAAAGGAAGCAACTCTGGCCCTGCCACAGCGAGATTTATACTCCCGGTACTCAGTATTTCACTGTAAAGCAGTTTCAGATGACATGTGATAGAAGACATGCTCATTGGCTCGCAAAGTAAGACTGAATTCAATTTCCAAAGGATTAAAAATATACCTTTGGGGGGAAATAATTACACTGCAGTAAATGTTAACCGATACATTTGAAGGTGCCTGTCCTATGCTTTTAATTTAGTTTTGTATCGTTGACATTAGAGGGCTGAAGGTCTCTTCCGTGACGGTGTCTGAAACTGCACTTTAAAGCTTCTTTTTACGCGTAGTGTTTGAAAAAGGGGTGTCCTCCAGAATCGCTGGAGGTACAGTTGTGACCGACCCCCGTGCTTCTCAATGGTGTGACGCTCAATGAGCCGTGACCTTGGAGGTAATGAAAAATAATAATAATAATGATCCTTGCATTTGATACAGCGCCTCATCACTTCTTCGAGACGTCTCGAAGCGCTTCACAGGATATGCTGTAGAGTGTATCTTTTGTGGGCGAAACGCAGCAGCCAATTGCGCACAGCAGCGTTCCCCACACACGTCACCCTTCTGGGTATGCACGACCATTGTTCCAGGAAAGAGTCTGTGTGTTGAGCTGAGGCAAGAAACCCATTCTTTTTGCTCTGGGTTTTTAATGCTGCGCGATTTTAAAATAGCAACTTGCTTTTATATAATGCCGTGTCTTCTCCCGCACCAAGCTCCACGATCCTATCACCCCCACCCTCGCCTGGCTTCCCGGCTCCCAGAGAGAGGGTAGAGATCGAGATCATCATCCTCGCTTTCAAAGCCCTCCATAGCCTTGCTCCTCCCTCCCTCCCTCCCTTCCTTTCCGCTGTGACCTGCTTATTACCCCTTACTAACCTGTCCGCTCCCTCCGCTCAGCAGGCTCTGGCCTGCTGAACGTACCCGGCCTGGCCCGCTCCACCTTCGCCAGTTGGTCCTTCAGCCTCTCTGCCCCCACCCTTAGGAGCTTCATCCCACGGTCCCTTCACATCACGCACCCCCTCCCTTGCCTCCTTCAAGGCCCTTCTGAAAACCCTCCTCTTCGATCATGTCTTCGCTTACCCTCCTGCCTCCAATCTCTGTCCTCTACCCTCCTGATCCTAACCTCAAATCCTTCAATGTCCAGCACCTTGGGATATCCTCCCGACATGAAAGGCGCTCTACAAAGGAAATTTGTTGTTCACATGGGGTAGTGTGTAGGAGCGTTTGAAAGAGTGGTAGCACATCACTGAGTTGGCTGTGGGGTATAATAATAATAATTCTTACATTTGTCTTAGCCCCTTTCACATCAGGAGGATGTCTGAAAGCAGTTCACAGGATAAACTGGCAGTGGTGAGACTATGTCATTTTTGGGCGAATGAAAATGCCAATTTGCACACAGTGATGTCCAACAAACAGCCATGAAGTGAACGACCAGTTTTATTAGGGGGATTGTTAGCCAGGACACCAGGCGAAACCAGACAAAACTCCCACTGTTCCAGTGTTTGGGGGCATAGTGGGCGCAAGGCCGGCCACCGATGGTGGAGCAGAGGGCACGAGGGACAAGCAGGAGGCCGGAGCCTGTCGAGCGGTGGTGGATTGGGGAGAGAGTAAGCAGGTTGGAGAGGTAGAGAGGTACCAGAGCATCAAAGGATTTGAAAACGAAGGTGAGGATCTTGTAATCGAAAGGCATTTATTGTTCTTGTGCACTTGATGAGCGATGTTTTCATTTATTTAAAGCTGATTTTTTTTTGATGATTGTTATAATCCTTGCATATTTTTGATAATAAGCGTAGAAAGTGCTGCGTCACCGCAGGTGACCTGCTTGCCCTCCTGGAGCTGATTGGGTGCCACCTGTTACTAAGGTTATTGAGTGCCAAGTTTGCTGTCTGTCATGGAGCGTCTGTCAATATTTTGACTTAAATCTAAAAAAAAAGTCCTTTTTTTTACAAATTATGCTCCTATACAGGAAATACGCCATTTTTTTCCCCCCACTGCAGCTGCTTATAGAATTCCCGAGGGCAACCTTCTGCCATTCAAGACCTAAGTGCATCTTTTAGTATTTATAAGCAATATCCTTGATAAACTGATGTTATATTGCAATCGTACTATAGCTTGTAGAAATGCACAAATCCAGGAATTTGTTGCAGCATGCTTTGTTCGTACCTTTGGCACTCCCTGCCTCCATCTCTCTGTCTTGCCCCCACTTTGCCAGTCTTCAAATCGCATCTGAAGACTTTCCTCTTGTGGCTTTGGTCACCTCCCTTCTCTTTCCAGCTAAGAGGGAATCCACGCTGCCCTTACGCACGCCAAGACTGCTTTGCGCGGAGGGTGCAAGTTGTCGTGGTCAGTCGGTGGATGCTGCTGATCGACCTTGTTCAGCTGGCTGCTCGGCAAATTGTGGAGCGTTGGTTACAAATACACTGCTGGGATGTTATGTTTTAACATTCCCAGTTTGACCTGCTGTCCAGGTGAGCAATAAAGAAAAATCTCAAGGACAATCGTAAAGTGTCTTGAGCTAGTGTATAGCGAGACTCCCGGTAACTGGAAGCCCATCAATGCTGACCAATGGGAACTCTAGTCCAATGTGGTCTACCCTGGAGAGGAATTTAGTGGGAATTCTCGCAGGTTGGAATCTGGTTAAGAAATACTGAAAATTAAACCCCGCTCCTTCTTTTTGGTCTCATCCTTTCAGAATACCCGAGACGTTATTCTATGTGAAAGGTTTTACTTAAGTGCAAGTTGCTGCTGCTGTTGTATCATTCTTCAGATAAGATGTTAAACCAAGGCCCTTGTCTGCCTATTCATGTGGTCGTTAAAGAACCAGTGGTACAATTCGAGAAGAGAATGGAGTTTCTCTCGCTGTCCCGACCAACAATCCTCCTTGATCATTCACCTCAAGGCTATTAGTGTGCCAACTGGCTGGTGTGTTTGCCTACAAAATACACAGTCACTACACTTGACGAGTGAATTGCTCGCGAAGCGCTGTGAGGTGTTTTGGTGTTACAGGTGCAATAGCAAATGCAATGATTATTATGACTTTCTACTTTATTTCGGGTAGTTTTCTCTTCAGGTTACTGTTTCACTTTTCTTATCCCTTACACTTCTTTCCTTGTTTCTCAGTCCCTTTCTCCCCTTTTTTTTAAATCCTTCTCTCCTTTGCCTTGTTCCGCTCTCCGTCTCACACAGCTACAGGCTGCAGGTCAGTTCACTATTGCAACCTATTACGACATCTCAAGACCTCCTCCCACTTTACTACCTGCTAACACAGACAGATTGTGAACTTTACTCTTTAACAGTAAACTTGAGGACCCACCTAAATCAACAGCAACATTTTATCATGCTTGACATATGGTTGTAAAATCCACTTAGGCATGCCCCCATCCCCCCCAGCACAATAAATAAATAATAATTTATGTGAAATATAATGAATTCTTTGAATCACTATGCTCCGGTGTGCTATATTGGACTGTGTCAACTTTCCGAGAGGTTTTTGAAGTGCATTTATTATAGTCCCTCTCGCTTCAAGTCACCTTCCCCACCCCGCCCGCCCGCCCGCCGCCCCCATTTCTGACGCCTTGTCAAGCCACACTGCTGTTAAGCACTCCTGAGTCGCGAGTCGCGTGAAGGGCGCTACATAAATGTAAGTTGTGGTTCTCTTTCCTTTCTCTGGTCTGTTCCAGGCCCTCTGCCAACGTGACTCTGGATAACTGGAAGAGAGAGCACTTTCCTGTCTGTGTTGAAGTGTCGGTGCCCAGCATGTGTCTCTCACAAGTGGAGACCAATAACTCTGTGAGCAATGATGGGCTGCATCCTATCATTATGGCACAGTACAGCTTAACCGCACTTGCTGAGCTCCTATGATTTCCAACAGCAGTATTAGCCATGGGAACAGAACACGGGTCTAATTTGCAAGAGTTGCAAAAGGATTTGTAAAGAGTAGATCCCACAGATACTGTGATGTGTCTCAGGTTGACTTTCTGGAACCCTACCTGGTCTCTGGCATCAGTGTCGATTTCCCTATTTACTCCTGGATCTCCAATTTACGAATTCTTTGGGGAACAGCACAAACCAGACTCCAGCGTGTGGCCAAATGCTATTAAAGGGAATCAGACACAAGGCGCTGAAATCTTTCCACTCCAGACAGACTCAACTTATCTCTTGCGCCAAAATAATAAGCTCAAACAAAGCAGTTTAATGCTTCTCTGCCCTTAAAGAGCTAATTCGAATAATAACCGATAGGGTGCCCCAGATTCTGCAGGATAATGCCATGTTAATCAGGTTTAAGGAATTTACAGTCAGTATAATGGGCAATAAAATGGACTGACAGGTATTGCATACGCCGGCCAATCTGCATACAAGCGAATCTAAATGCAGGAACATTTCAAGCCTTGAAATGCAAACTACGCAGACATCATAAAAAGTTCAATACGTTGCACGTAAAAATCATTATTCGTCTATTCGTGTTGGTTTCAGGGGGAGAGAGCTTGCCGAATGAATTTTACAACTGGCACAAAATAATTACGGGAAAGGCAACCTTTTTTTTTAAACGCACAAATTCTTTTGCTGCACTTTTGTTTTGCCAATTTTCTTCCACTCTCCTTTCCTGAAGGCGCTGACTCTTGCTGGGGTTCGATTCCACCGGCGCCAGCTGGCCTTGTGTGCTTTGCCCAAGGTAGCCGTTCTTCATGTGCGAGCCTAGACAGTCAATTGGCAAGCTGCTCAAGCATGGAGGGAGCATTAAAGAGGAGCCTGATGGTGTCCTTACCTGGCAGGAACACGCCACTTCCAACAGGAATCACTGGATAGCAATAAAGAAGCACTTCCATCTTAGCCTTTCTGCTCCCAACCTCTGGAACGACATCAAGTGAGAGACCTGGGTTCGATTCCCGACAGGACAGGGCGAAACCTTGGGCAAGTTTCCTTTCTCCACCCGCCTGATAATAATCCCTCAAGAAAAAAATAAATTGGTAATTTTAATCCACGACTGTTTGTGGGACACTGCTGTACGCAATTGGCTGCCGCATTTCGCCCACAAATATACAGTCAATTCACTTTACAGTATATTCTGTGAAGCGCTTTGAGACGTCTCGAAGACGTGGAAAGCGCTTTATCAAAGGCAAGGATTATTATTGTTATATTCCAGAAACCCGTCTGCCTCACCCTCTCCCTTGCTTCCTTCAAGGCTCGACTCAAGGCTTTCCTCTTTGATCGTGCTTTCGGCCACGCTTTCCTGTTTCTATTTAGTTAGAGTTGGACTTGGGAGAAGAATAACTTATGATTTCCCATCTTTTCATGGTGAAGAACAGCCAACAAAAACACCCACAGCAACTTACACTGATATAGCTATCCTCACCAAGGGAGTGAGAAATACACCAGACAGAAGAGTAGAAGGTATAGGCTGGAATGTTGGACTGAAGAAGATTGCATTGGCAGAGTGGGCCATCCACTGTGGAGCAAATTGAGAACCAGGACACAGATCTTACCCTAATGTCCTGGGAGCCAATGGAACTCGATGAAGGTGGGAGCAATGGGTGTGCGGAGCCTTGTGTGGGTCAGAAATCGGGCTGTGCTTTTTTTAAAGAAAACGTCAGCACAGAACTGTCATGCTATCGAACAGTGCCAAGCGTGCGGGTAAGTTGGTGCTATAGATCGAGAAACACATTTCCAATTCCAGCTTTACTCAAAAGTGGCTCTCAAGCTACTTCCTCCCCCCCCCCCCACTCCACCACGAACCCCCCCGACACACCTTCCCTCCCTCCCGCAATCAGTTAATAAACCATAGTGAGCTGAAGCAGTGGTTTAATGGTAATATGGGGATGCAGAGCAAACATAACTGGGATTGTGTGTGTGTGTGGGGTGGGGGGGGTGGTGGGGGGGGAAGAGGTGGGGGGACGGGGGGTGGGTGCTGACTGCTGCTTATATCTCTCTACCTCACGGTCCTTTGGATGAGATGTTAAACTGAGGTCTCATCTGCCTGTTTAGGCTGATGTTAAAAGATCCCATGGCACTAGTTGAAAAGAGAAGGCAGTTCTTCCCGGTGTCCTGACCAACAATTTCCCAAATGAAATTTGATCATTCACTTCATGGCTGTTTTGGGGACATTACTGTGCACATATTGGCTGCCGTGGTCACCCACAAATACAGTCACTCCACTTGACACTTGACAGTAAATCCTGTGAAGTGCTTTGGGAAAAGCGTGAAAAGCGCCATACCAAAGGATTATTATTATTATTGTTTTCAGGGCAGCACTGAGAGAGGCTGTGGAGAACCTCACAATAAACTCCCTCTGTGCCTCTGAGGCAGACACTGGCAGACTCGGACTGCAAAGGGGGAGAGAAAAGGGGTAGAAATCCATGAAGACAAAGGACGTCATTTGCACCAATTAACAAACTTATCTTTTTTGGGGGAAAGCTTTGCACGACTAAAAGCTAAACCAGTACACTACGGTTTCACCTCCTCGCAGTCTCGTCTGCTCAGAAGCCTCAGCTCAAGCACACATTGTGCGGAATTTCCAGCCCCTTTCTTTTTCCAGCCAAGCTCCTTCTCTCCCCCCACTCCCCTTCCTCCCCCCCACCCGCCCCCACCCACTGATTGAATAGATCTGTACAAATTTAGCGGTTTTCTAATTTCCTGTCTTGTTTCAAAGTGCTGCAATTTAAGGCCATCCACTTGCTGTTTGTACACAATGCAGAACAATAGCCGACTTTTTTAGGTTCCAGTTTAGAGCTCTTAAGAATGAGGAAGTGCAACATTTTATGAGTAATTACCAGTGGAAGTTATTTACCCTGTAGCTGCAGCCCAGTGCCGGTGAATGAAGGAGAAACACTTGTTAAAGAGCCAGCATCATTTCTGCGGCTCCTAAATATAGCCTGTGCTGTACAGTGTACAGTCCCCAGGACCGTCGCCAGCATTCTCCGTCCCCACATTCCTAAAAACCCATCCCTTTTTTCCCCCTTTTTGCATTGCAGAATCTAACTGTGCCGTGTCCCATAGCACAGCGGTTGACGTACTCGCATCACACGCGAAAGGACCTGGGGTTCGATTCCGGGCCGAGTGTCCTCACTTACTCCGAATGCCTCTGTTCACCCGGCGGTAAGTAGAACCTTACTGGTTGTCAATGGATTGGCAGATTGCTTTCCAGGGTAATAATCTCTCGGGGAGAAAAAACATTTGGTCGGTTCATCCACGACTGTTTGTGGGACATTGCTGGGCGCAATTGGCTGCCCCATTTCGCCCACAAAGTATACAGTCAATCCACTTTACGATATGTTCTGTGAAGCACTTTGAGACGTTTCAAAGTTGTGATTAGGCGCTATATCAAAATGCAAGGATTATTATTATGTTGGTCTCAACAGAGCACAACACGATATTCAGAAAGCGAATATTTGTGCAATTTAATAAACTGGTGGAACAAACTCGACGGGCTGAATGGTCTGTTCTTGTTTTCCAATGTCTAGCTGCTGTCAGGCAACAGATTGCACCATCAGGTCTTGTCTGTGATAAAATAGGTGACCCTTTTTGCCCCATGTTCCATGATATTGGAATATCTCAACGTGCTTCACAAGGAGTTGCTGTCAAGAGCAGTCACTGTGTAACTGAAGGCAAATGAACCAGCCAGATTGCACACAGCAAATACCCACCACTACCAGTTACGAGGTGAACGATCAATGGCCAATTTGTCTAGAGTTGACCAGGCCCGAACAGCCTCACATCAAATAAATAGACTGCAAATTTACCACAGTACGTGTTTTAGTTTAAGTGCAGACTCACTCTATGTCTGTGTTATTATTGTTGTTCAAACTCATAATCCAATATACAGTAGAGGAATATCTATCTCATCACAAGAGTCTAAGCAATTTTTTCAGACTCGATATATTAATCCTTACATTCGATATTGTGCCTTCAACACTGAAATGTCTCAAAGCGCTTCACAGAATTTACTGTAAAGTGGAGTGGCACAATTTCTGCGCGGCAATGTCCCACAAACAGTCATTGAAACGAATAAATCTAAAAAAACACTGGTGACCTAGACACCAGGAGAAACTAGCTTCTCTTTTGCTAAGGGATCTTTAACATCCGCCAGACAGGCACACGGGGTGGGGTCTTGGTTTAATGTGTCATCAATAGGACAGCACCTCAGACAATGCAATGCTCCCCTGGCCCTACGCTGGAGTGTCAGCCTAGATGTGGTGATTTATGGAATATTGGTTATTAACTAAGGGCATCTTCGCAAGGGTGAAATGAGGCTTCAAAAAGCACAGGGTGACCCTCACGTCTCTTCGAGAGTGGTTTCCCCTATAAGGGCAGACTATGTCATTGATAAGGAGGCTCTCGTGAAGGGAACACTTTGCACAAACATAGCGGACACTGCAAAAAAATTAATATAAGAGCAATTACAATTGTAGGCACATCCCAGTGCTAAGGGGCAGGCATTCTCCTTCAGTTCCTATGTCACCTCAGCACGTCCTCTCTAAGTTTCCTGATTAATGGATGAATACTGGACTCCACAGAAAAGAACCCTTTAAATGGGATTATTTAAAAAAAACACTGCATGGGTCTTACCTTTCAGAGTGCTTACCCCCAGAGGTACCTTTCACTTTAAAGCACCACAGCTTTCTAAAGCAACACTTTTTTTTCCAGGAAAAGTACTAATGGGTCACTCATGCGCGATAAACCGTGCTGTATGTCTGACTGTGTCTCTACAAAGACCTACAGATAATTACATGTGTCCGGGCCAGGTGAGAACCTGACTCAAAGGCCGAATCTGACCCCAGTGACCCCAAACTCTTCAGGGCAGCGAGCACCTTTTGTACTTGAGGCACAATATGTTCTCTGCAATCCACCAGTAGGCTTTCTTCTGACAAGAGAGAGCAGGGAGGGATGGCTGCCTGATAGACACATTGACCCTCTAGGTTTGGAATGAATAGGGAAGGGGAGGGATTTCTTTTGTGGGTCATCTGCAGATAGATGGGTGGTGGTGGTGAGTCTTCCAGAAAGGGGGTAAACTCGCAATTGTTTTTCTTTGAATGATTTATTTGAATTTTATATTTACAATAGGAAACCTCACATTTGATCTGGAGCCTTTCATGTTAGGCGGACGTCTCAAGCGCTTTGTACAATATACTTTCTAATAATACGTACGGCGCCTTTTACATCAGGACATGTCCCAAAGAATTTAACAGGAGGTACTGTAAATGCAGTGACTGTTTTGTGGGCGAATGAGGCAGCCAGTTTTATTTTCCTTGTGTTCTATCACTTTTCTGCCTCCCTTTGTCTCTCTCTGGGATTTCCAGGGCTGTTGTTGACTGGAAGGTTTGCGTCGCAAGGCCGGTTCATGATGTAAATTTCCATCCCATCGCCGCTCCTTCCCCACAAAAGAAGACCCACCCCTCATTTGCTCTCAGTATCTGCTGCTCTTCCCCCCCCCACCCTTCTCTCTCTCTCACACCACATCCCCCTCCCTTCTTGGAGAAGAATTTTTTCTCTCTAAAGTAACATTTGGCAGAGGTAACAGGAATCAGCCTGGCACCTTCCTCCAGCCTGCCAAGAAGTGAAGGATAAAATGAATTCGACCTTTGTAGCTCTCTACTTCAGATATCAAAGGCAAAGAAAACATAGGGCCAAGGTGTGTCGACAAGTACAAAGGTGACTGTGAGCATTAATGAAAGTACCGTGCGCAGAATGAGACCAACACAGGACATATTTGAGTCGATGAATAATAAACACAATAATCCTTGCATTTGCGTAGTGTCTTATCCCATTGTCAAGATTTCTCGAAGTGCTTGACAGGACATAATGT